TTAAAAATTCAGAAACAAAAAAAGAAGGAAAATGGTAAAAGAAATAAGAAAAAAGAGAATCATAAGGATTATGTATGAGGAATTGGGTCATAACTTATAATATACAATGAGAACTTTTGCTGCAAATTTATGAGAAATGAATGGCAACAAACCATCTTCATTGCTTTTGCTTACAATACAATTTGTTCTGTGCATGTTCAGGTTTTTTTCACCAGCTGATTCAGACAAAAACATTCGAGTGGAACAAGTTCAGACCTCTGTCTTTTTGGCCACGATTTAACATCCTCTTTATTGTCATGGATTGGTAATTTTAATAATGGTGGCAACCTTGATGCTCCAGTTTTCGTTTTTCCAACACTCTTCTCTGTTTTGAGAATATATTTTTGCACACTCAGCAATGAGGAGTTTAATGATTTAACATCTTCCTAAAGAAGAATGTTGAAAATCAGTCAAATTACAATATAGCCAGCTAGAGCTGTTAATTGTCAATTGAATGATATTTTCTTTAGCTACTTAAACATGCTATTACCATGTTACAGGCTTACAGGCAATCTTTGATAGGTGCAGCTTCATGTTATGGTCCATGATTTTTATAGGACATGGGCTTAGATGGGCTGGTCTTTCCTGATCACAATTTAAAGGGCAATCCTATCCGAATGGTCCATGAATAGTCAGACTTGGGCTCACGTGGGCTGATCTGACCCGGATATGATGAGCATCTAGCTTGGCATGATAGCCATCGTCTGTAATTAGTAGTCTAGCTAACTCAAAATCAAATTAAATTTTCCAACTTAGTATATATAAAATTACCAACGATTAAGACATGATGAACTTGCAATTTTCCAACTGTTCTGATCATCCTTTTTGGAGATCTGTATAGGTAAAAAGAATTTCACAGTTGGCAACTTGGCGTGCCACCTTTACCATCAACAAATTGATTGAAAATAATCCGTCACACCCTAACTTTAACAGAAACAATGAGAAGAATCAAGCCAAAATCAACTAAATTTACAACCAACGTTAAATCTTGGTGAGACCCCACTTTACCAACTAGTATTCATTTGGATTAATTGCTCTTGTTTGAATGCTGAATTTTGTGGATAAAAATTGGAGATTTTAATTTTATCCCCTCTGGAGGCCATAATCTTGGAAAAGATGATTGAGACATTAGAGTGAAGATAAGGGAGAAAATGTGGAAGTTATATACTTCATTCACATACTGTCTTAAGTAAATATTCTTGAGATCTGTTTTAGGGAAAGAAAAAGATGAAACAGTGTTTTGAATAGTCAAAAAGAGAAAATTTGTAAAGTTACTGATCGTACAATTGGTTAATCTGATTAGGTATATACTTTTCTGCACTAAACTGCAGAAAATATATATCAAACAAGCTGCAGATAAAAACCAAAAAAAAAAAAAAACGAAGCTGCCTAAAACCTTACAAAAATGGCTCAGACCAGAGCAAGATGACCGACCATTTATAAAGAAGTTTACACTGAAGAAAATGAAGGTCGTCAGGCGGCAAAAATGACAGATCAGAGATATGTTTGCCATTTGGAATTTAGGTTGTAAGCATGTATACCTGTCAGCCTGGATTACCTGACCTAACCCACCTGACTCACCAGTAATAAAGAATTAAGAAATATATGGCAAATTTATGTGGTGTTTCTTTCTCAACAAATTCAACTGACAATGACTTCTCACTTTATTTTATTAATTGTAAATATTATTTGATCCTATCAAATTTCTTCCTATAGTATAGTGCCCTTTACTTATTTAGTACTTAATAAACAGCTTGATAAACTGATGCTTTGGGAGTTCAATCACTGCCAATATTCATACTATAAAATTACATCTTCATCCTATAAATTATTCACCATATACAATACATACAATTGATACACAATCTTAATTAACAAAAATAAACGAGCTTAATTAGCTTAGTAACAATCAGCTCAGTCCTCAGAGCATCTTCTCGAACAGTAATATATATACAGTCCATGGCTTCAATTCATATATATATATATATATATATATATATATATATTCATACCAATCTCCCTGAGCCACCAAGAGAATAACTAAGCCAAGGCTCCTGATCTTTCAATACCATGTTATCTGCGGAATTAACCAAACCCGATACTGTACATATTCTTTTATGCGCATATATATGTACATGGGGAAGATAAAGCTGGATAATTGAGAGTTGAGACTTACTAACTAACTGTTATGCAGAGAAGCCTCTAAGTAAGTAGCTCGTCTCTCCATGTTCGGGTGACCATGGATATGAATTCCTCTGCTCTTCTTTCCAAATCATCATCTTTCTCGTCTTCTTCACTACCCTGACCATCTTCTTTATCAAGATCATCATCATTTTCTTCGTTATAACCATCGTAACCATGATACCCTTCGGGATCATCATTTGCATCAATGACATAATAAGCTGGAGGGTCAGAGCTGATCAACTGATGACCAGCTGCATCTAGATGATCAGATGGCTCAAGGCATCCAACAAGGACAGTGATAATGACAACGTTGAACACGAAAAACACAGCTATGTTACTAGATTTTGCCAAGGTGATGAAGTTGCAGGTGGAGAAAAGAAGTTCATGACACTGAGTAACTGAAAAAAACATAGTGAAGAAGATCAACAAGATCGGCAAAGAGATACTTAAAACCCTAAAGACATAAAACGTAGCTCCTTCCATGCCAATCTAAACTAGGGAGTTCAATGATATGTACTTTCCCTTTCTATGTTTTCCAAGTAGAAGGTGATCTTTTTGAGAATGGGAGGAGTACTACCAGAGACGGATGTAGGTGGGGGCAGTGGGGCCAGTTGTTGAAACTTGAGCATTGATTATTAGTAAAAGATACCAAATATAAATGATTTTTATATTTTATCCCCACTAAAATTTTAAAGTAACAAGTAAAATTATTAGAAATAAACTTAATTTTTAATTTTTTTTGTTTTTTATCCCCATTAAATGTAAAAAAAAAAAAAAATTAAGTATAGATGTTTTATAATATTGAAATGTATACAAATATATTAACAAAATAAAAAAGGTAATTGAATAAGTTAATGATTCTAAATATAAACATAAAATTAATCTCTTTATTATATTTATTGATCTTATTAGAATAATTTTTAATGAGTTTATAAAACATGTTATGACATATCTAAATAAGATGATTCATGTAGTATTATATCCATTTAATAAATATATTTATGTATATGTTTAAAATCTTTAATATGTTTATTCAATTATCATATTCATATTTACTTATATAAATGTTAATATTTTTTTTCAAATGAGATACAATTAAAACAAGTAAATGTGATTTTTTAGATTTAATTTTTATATAAAAATAATTTTTTAATATTTTATAATTTTTTTAAAAAATTATTATTTTATATTTTAAAAATATTTAACATTATATTTTAATAAAAATTATTTTAAATTACAATAATTTATAAATAAATATTATCTAATAATTTCTCCCATTGATATTGACATAGATTCTGAATCCGTGCACGAGTACTATAAATATTTTGAAAAATACTTCCTCGAAGTAAAAAGGATTAGTTAATTGCATGCCTAAGGGCTATAATCAATTATACAATTTACATGTGTCATTCTCTAATAAATAATCTTTATTTTTTTAATTTTCATTTCATGATCTAGTAATTATAAAAACTTAAAAAAAAAACTTAATGATTTAATTTCGAATCGAATCCCTTTTCCTCTTCTTATAATACTTTTTATCTCCCCTTGAAATAAAAAAAAAAAAAATCTCCATTTTTAAAACCAGAAAGAGCTCTGATCTAGGTTGCCCGGAAATTTCTCTGCATTGACTTTTTGATAGGCCAAAAGGACAAAAGTTATAATCAATATCGTCGGCAAAGTGACATGGATCTTGGAATTAGGTGGAAAACCAAATATGAAGCAAATAAGAGTGCAAAGTATTCAAAGGAAAAAAAGAATGTGGGTTACTTGAGAATTATTCGGTGTGAACAACCTATTGAAGCACAGTCAAATATTGATCTTTAATTTGTTTATTTACATCTCACAAGATTTAGACTTGTGCTAAAACCGTGCTGTCTTTCGCTACATCATTAATTTTCCTCTCAACATCAGTCAGGAAATTCCAGAGGACATGAAACAGCAATTAGATTCATATAATTAGTCTTGTTAATCTCTCCATTTGCTCGTTAGCAATCTGCTGTTTGACTAAGCTAATTAATAACGAATAACACCCAACACAAAAATAATTTACAGGAGTTTGTAGATGAAAAAAGTACATAAAATTCATTTCTTCAATGTTTAAACTTTAAAGCTTATGAAATAAGGCTTGCTTTGTTCCTTTGATGAAGTTCATTTGCAATTTTTGTCAATTATTAATTTTAATTATAAGTCAATTTAAGTAATGAAATTAGGAAATCGAATTGTAGAAACTTTTGGGGTAACAACTACTCATGTACTCATAACACTTGTAAAATAGATTGATGCCATGGCGGCGCCGCCATGGACAGGAAAGAATATCTTTCCTTTTTCTTTTTGGATATTGACTTACATTTTAACTAGTGTCAGACAGCCAGAGCCAAGTTAAGGAGCAAGGTCGTTTGAACGAGAAAAAGAAGCTCCCTCCCACGGATTCGATATATGTCGTTACTCCTCAACACAATCAAAACCACAAGCTTCACGAACCATGGTTAGTTTCTCTATAATATATTAATATATGTACATAATGAAAGGAATAAATGGCAGGGCTAAGCTAGGCTAAAGCTAGACTGTATAAAATTTTGGTGGTTGCTCCATTACGAGCAAATATAAACAAAATAATTTTTTAATACATGATATATTATAAAAAAATAATATAATTTAAAATTTTAATAAAGTAAAATTTTTTTATATTAACTATTATATATAATTTACAAGTAAAACATAATACAAATAATATGAAAATGGTTTGAAGACCATTTCATCCGACGTGCCATTACCGATTTTCCATGTAGGATGTTAAATCTTCTACGTAATGCTAGCTTTGATCAGATTTTAACCAAAGTTATTTATTGAAGAATCAAGGAAATCCGATTAATGAAGCCGACGAAAAATTCACTACTCCGTAATTGGGGAATTTTAAAATCTGTGACACTTGCCATCAATTAATTCATAAATCAGAAAAAGGATGTCTTTGCCTGAGACATTAAAACCTAGCTGGATATCAGGGATGCTAATGCTACATTATCCTACATTAATATTCAAGAACGCATGAACTCCACTGTCGGAAAAAAATAAACATCAGAGTTTGATTTAGTAAGCCTCCGGGATGAATGATCGTTATTTAATAAATTAACCTGCAGGCAAAGAAATGTTGATGTCAGTTGCTGAATTTCTTGGTTCCTGCATGGTAGCCCAATTTTCTCTTCGGAATGTAGCTGTGGACAGGTTTTGTTTCGAGGCATTCGAATTTTGTTGCGTAAGTACACCTATGATATCCTCTTTTTCTGCATTTGAAGCAGGTGCAGCGAATACAGTTGGGTTCGGTGCAACAGTGGCTGGTATGGTCTCATTTTTCGGCTTCTTGGGTTTTTGGTCATGCTGGTTGCCCGGCAAAAAACTACCCACGACAACCTGATAATTGAGCAAAAGATTAACCAATGTCTTCAAGATCACATATTGTCAGGAAATGTTAGAATGGCCAAAGATCAATTCCAGTTTTCTACGATTTTTGACAAAAGTCTCGTGCATGTTTGTTGACTGATGCAAATTCTTGTTCTTGCTCAGACTAGTGGTATGAGGGCCAATAGGCAATCAATTAGACAATCACTTGCAGCAAGAGAACCCCCCACATTAAACATACTACTGCTTCTAAAATGTAGGGGGAAATTTAAAACTAAAAGGCTTACCTGTACAGGACTGGCAGCTACCAGAAGCCCAGCAACTCCTCCCCCTATAACACGGCCATCAGGGCTTGCCAAAGAGACACTCATCCCACCAGATCGACTTCTCGTTCCTTGAGTCTCTGTAGGCATGAAGGATCCAGACAAGGAAAGTATCTCAAATCGACCCTACAAGAAAATAGGATAGATGAGGTTGTTTTAAGGATTAGAAAATCAAAACAGCATAAGAAGTTCATGTCGGAACAAGCAAATCCTCTTTTTCTATCCTTCTTCCTCTCATATAGATAAGCCATTGGTTACCAAGACTAATCCTACAAACTGTAGTTGATGCACAGTAAATACGTCCCTCATCATGGTTGCAATTTATAACCCTTCTTGTCCGTCAAACAGTATGCCCTATCCATTTGATTTCAGGAGTATTCAGCAACAGTTTTATCTTTGTGACATTTGTATCTTCATAGCACACAACTATTTCACACACCTAAATAGCACTAGTCTTGGAGAATAATGTGAACCATCTGCTTATGATCAGTTCCTCAGTGAAACATACCAAGTTGTATGCACTGATGGTTTGAAAATAGTCTGGATAAAATGCTTACTCAGTGGAACTTTAACTTGCACCGATGCATTTGTAAGTAAATTCTCAACAGCATACATCTTCCTCAATGTACCAGCTCACTATGAATATTTATAGACATAACAACCTTTGGAACTAATAAGAGTATAGTTTAAAGAATTGTCCCTTCTTAAATCCTATATTCTTCGATAGCCTGACAAATTTATATACATTAAACACTCCTGCCAACATTAATATTATACATGCTTTCCATTTAACAGATAGTCTCATTTCAAACCTTGTTTCAAAGCATATCATGCAACAAACCTTGATTCACATCCGAGAATCAAACATGTCATTATTGAGAATCTTTGCATACATTATTGAGAAACAAAACTTACAAACTATATATATTATGGAAACTCAAAATATTTTGGAATGTGATGGTAATTTCTAATTTGCCTAACCTCATACGTAAGCGTACCCCCCGAAGAATCAGCCTGACGTAGTGTAACATTTGAAATTACTCCATTAGCAGATAGGATGCAAATAGCTCTTGGTCCTTGTTGAGAAAATGATATCACCTTCATTGTTACATCCTTGAACACCATAGAAAATCAAAGATGAAGAGTAAGGAAAAATGTAGAATTACTGATAAAGAAACCCTCCTGAATATGGAGGAAATAAAAGAATAGCTAAAAGTGCCACCACTAAACTTAGCTTTAACATGAATCTCATTGTTCAAGAAGCAAAACTAAGATAACAAACACCTTAGAGACCTACAAATTCTCCTAAACACAATACAAAATTAAATTTCATGTAGTCTCTGAGTGTAGCCTGTTACATTTTAATAGTTATTTGTACTAGTTCAGCCTGCTGGATAAAAACTTCAAGATTTGATGGTGGCAATGTGTTAAGGTCTAAGGTTTAGAAACATAAACAAGGAAAAGATCCATCACAAATTGAAAGATCACCAACAGCCACAAAAAGATGGACCCTAAACCCTCAAAAACTAATAAAGATATTCTCCTATCTCTTTTCCATATCAAAACATACCTCACCAGCATTGACAGTGATGACATGTGGTGTAAAATTTGTTCCGACAGAAGTAGCAGCCCACTCGCCTATAAAACAATAAGATCTATAAATATGGGATTTTGCTGTTAAAGTAAAAAAATTATGTGCTAATATACACTTCAGCCCCTGTTTGTCAAACTAACATAGATCTACTACATGCTTGAGATTTGGCATGAATTCAACAACGGATTTCAAATTGGAACCAGCATATTTATGCAAGAAACCCTTTAAACCAGATTCAAGAAGGCCAGAAGTAGAAACATATTTTCTGTCTCCTCAATCCCTGGTAACTAAAAGAAATTATCAATCAAGCAATATGGCTGCTTTAATAACTTTCATTCTGTTTCTATCATTGGGAGCATCTTGAAAATCCTTGATGAAAAGGAAAGAGGAAACAAATCTTAGCCACAAGAAAAATATTCCACCTAACACAGTCACACCAACCCCACAAAAGGCCACTTTTTCATTCACAAAACCAGCACTATTCTTCCAAATCTGAACAACGGCATCTTTGATAAGGACCCGCAAAAGGTTTAACAAGTATTATTAAGGATTGACTTCACATATGGAATCTTTATTCAGAAATTTCCAAATAAACCAGGTGACCTGTTTCTAAACCCTAGTGCAGAACTAATTGCACTTAGTTTGAAGCATACTCCAAGAAACAGAAACCAGAAACATTACTATCCATTACCAAATCCACAACAGGAAACTCGTACCATTTTCCATGTTGCAAACTCAAAACTAAAACAAAAACATGCTAAATTTTGAATTAAAAGAAACGACTTTCTTCAAAGGGGCTTATTACCTAAATTCTCCATTTCCATTCCCTTCTGATGCTTAATCTGGTAGCCACTGCCACGCCCTCTCCCCCGCTTTCCTCCACTAGAGAACTCACCTCCTACGGGTGGGAAAGATGAGGAAATAGGCATTGGCGACAATGCCCTCGCCAATGTCCCATCTGATCCATATTTCCTAGGTCTACCTCTCTTCTTCTTTTCTGTACTACCAGTTAATCCGACACTAACTGGCGAAGCATCGACTGCGGTTGAGCTACCACCAATCTGGTTAGCATTTTCTGTCCTTGGCGCCATATGATAGGCTGATGGAGCTTCTGCTCCTATCACTGTAACACCAGAATTTGTTTCCATGCATACACTGGAAGCAAAACTATTAACTATTCACTACAACTGTATCTAACTTACAAACTCACAGCCAACCACCCACCTACAAAACAGAAACCCATCAATAAAAAATCAGAAACCTCACCATAAATACAATGTTTTCAGAGTAAACCCAACAAGAAAAACTACTAACTAGTAGAAGAAAAGAAAAGTTATTTGAGATTAAAACCATTGTCTCTTTATTTAAAAATTCAGAAACAAAAAAAGAAGTAAAATGGTAAAAAAAAAAGGCATTTTCAGGGAAAAAAAAAAGAAAAGAAAAGCTAAAACTTCTTGAAAACGGATCCTCAAAAAAAATTAAAGATGCATCAAAAGATACAAGTGAAACTACTAATACTCAAAGCTCATCTTTATGTTTATTTCACATGATCAGTCCCTTAACACATACTAAAACTCAAATAAATAATTAAACATAAAAACTTCTTTTTTCAAGACTGTACAAAATTAAGCTGTAACTCAGCCAAAAATAAAAAAACCTTAATTTTATATAAAAGAAAGAAAAACAGAAAATGATTAAAGCAGGGATTTTTCATACAACAAAAAAAAGTACACAAAAAAAACTTTCAAATTAAAAGATGTTAGAATGTAGAGATCATGACCTGTAACTTATAAGCGCAGCCCAGAAAACTCTTCACTAACACTGTTCTTCTCAGACTTGTTCACATTTTTCCAGAACTGAAGCAAAGTACTTTCAAAAGCTTTTTCTCGACAACCAAACGGATTTAAAAAAAAAAAAAAACTGTTTATTTACTGAGAAAACTGTTTTTTGAAGAAAAAAAACACAAACACTGGGTTTCAGAAAACCGCTGGCCGGTTTTTTATTTTCCCTGTCTGAACAGAGACTTTGAGAAGAAGACAGGAAAAAAGTGAAAAATACAAAATATTAATAAATAAAACTTGAAAATGAAAATAAATATAAAAATATATTGATAATTATTAATTAGTTGGTAAAATTGATATTCCCGATATATAAATTTTGGTTAAGGAGGAATTTCACGTCCGTGAGGAAAAATTGAATTTGAAAATTGAAAAAAAAAAGGGGTAAAATAGTAATTTCGTCAAAAGATATGAGAAATAAGGGAGAAAAAGTAAAGTAAATAGTTTCCTAAATTGTATATTTCTGTCTTTCACTTAAAGCTGAAAAGTTGGCGTTGGAGGGCCGACCTCTTTATTGCCTCTTGACCTTTCTTGTCTTCGTCCGCATATAAAGAATTGAACATCTTAGATTATGCCCTTCACTTATTTTCTTATTCACGGCTATGCCCCCGTAGAGTCTGGATTTTGTCCCTTTTTTTTATTTAGCATCAAAAAGTTTTTGGATTTCGTTCTTATTTATTTATTTATTTATTTATTTATTTATTCAACATTGAAAATTAAATCAATTTTTTGTTTTGATTATCGGCATTTCTGATTTTTCTCCAGGTAATTATGTTAGAATTTGGCAAAATTTTTGTATTTTTCTTTCCAAATTTCATTAACTCTACGTTGAGTTCCAACGAAACCCCGGAAAGAAATTAAATTAAAATCACCAGCCAATAAATACAAGCCGCGTGAATGGCCAGTTGTATAAACAATTTCAATTAAAATCCCTGGGCAAACCGTTGTCACAGCTGCAAGAATCTGATTGGCTGCTGATTTTCAGCAAAGAGTTGAGATCCTTCGTGTCTGAGACAGTCAAATGAAATCCTGACCTAAGGTTGGTGAATCAATAAGTTACACTTGTCCGAGATACGCATGTCTGAGAGACAGCCAGACTGTCATTGGTGGACATGCCCATCAAGACAGGGCCCTATTCTTTGAATCTTTTCGAAATTTAATTTAAGATAAGCTGTCCCCAACTTCCTGACCAGTAATTGGAAATTATAGATTTGGTCTGAGCGCTTAAATAAATGTCTCAACCAAGAAGATCGAGGGTCTTCATTTCTGACGAGTGCCTGACAGCACTGATGAAATAAATGTAATACATTAAAAATTGGTTAAAAGTAAAAAACTCATGATTTGCAAACCAATCAACCTAAACTTGTCCAAGTATGATTCAAATTCAACACTCTCAACAGTCAAACGGATTTTGACACTAAAGTCCACAATCGGATGCTTAGTTACAACCACATTAAGAAAGTCAATCGAATTTGACTTTAACCACTCGAATAAAAAGGCAGAACTTTTTTTTTTTCTCTGCGTATAAAAAATAAAAATAGAAAAGTTGCAAAGGATGAAGGTTGACTGGGAATTAATTACCACCGGACGCAAGTTAGAGACGGGTTTTTGAGGGGCTTTAGGACAGAAAAAACCCAGCTCTAACCTCTTCAAAAGAGTACTCAATTTGTTGACCTTGTTCCACAATTTTTTCAACTTTATAAGCACCCAAGGTTGCTGGAGTAGCTGGTGTTATTGCCATAAGCATAGGAGCTGATACCGTTGAAGGAGTTGTTGGTATTGGAACGGGCTTCGCTTTCGGGGTTCTGTTTTCATCGTCACCAATTAAAAAAGTTGGCTTGGAAGGCATACCCGTTGGTGTCTTGCAACCAGGATCTAATCTTAGCTCATTCTTCACTTTTTGCTTATCTTCTTTGAAACTCACAATGTTGGCATTGGAGTTCACGGCAAAAGAAATGGGAGAAAGAGGCTTTCGAACTGCTGGTGACTCAATCTCACGCACCTTTACCGCACGTAAGGGTTGCTTTTTTACTACACGACCAGAAACTTCAGAGCTTCTCCTACCTACAGCATCCACCCCCCACCCCACAAGAAAAAAAAGGCATAGAATATTTTTCTGTTGTTAGAGGTCTAAAATTCGGTCGCTGAAAAGAAATCATCGCCAAAAAAAAGGAAAACATATCTGTACGCCTTCTTATTTGGTTATAAAATTAAAATTTACCAGAGTGAGATGCAAAACCACTGGATCGCTGGTGATTGACCAAGCTGTTTTCCTTCAAATAGTCAGCCTTCTTATTGGGGTGGAGACGGATAGCAAGTTTCTCAGGCTTTAGTTGCTGCAGCATTGCTCCACCGAAGGAGAGTTTCCTATTACTGGCAGCGGCTGTTGAAGTTCTAGAAGCCTTCTTTCCTCGCATGGATGGGCTGGGTTTTGAACCATAAAGAGCTTCCTGCTCTGCTATCAGCTGTCCGTGAAGTTTCTTTTGGTCCTTAAATATAGATAATTCAAGCAAAGGTTAAGATGAGAAACTTGTTCTTTTGGTCCTTAAACACAGAGGCCTAAAAAATTAATTGAAATGGAGCACATACTCTCTGTCTCTGCCTCTCTAATTCTTTTTCTTGCCCTAGGCTGCTGTAGTCCTCAAGCACAGAAAGAAGTCGTCCCTAAATGCAACTCAAAACATCATCAAATTACTTAAAAAGAAAAACAATAACTAGAGAACAGGGAAATCGCAATTGGCTATAACAAGTCAAGTACTAAAAGAAAAAAGAACACAATGGCAGCTTTACTTTGACAGATCAAGTTTTAAGCCAAAGTGCACGGCTTACATAAGATTTGACCAAATCAATTTTTGATACGATGCATTGTCTTGTCCAGAAATATAACAGAAATTAGGGAAGTGCTTACTCCATCATACAAGAACACAGTTCCTCTCTCTTTCTCCCAAGCTGTGGTTTTTAAAGTCAAAGCTTCCACCATTGCTACACCAAAAGAAAGAAATTTATAAAATTGAGCAGTTATAAAGGAACACAGCACCAGACCAGTATTTAAATTTTAAAGCCAAACAAAACATAGGGACTAACACTTTAAATATTTCACTGCAAGACTCCTGGTTTACAACATTACAGTTATGGTCATAGTGCACGAGTTTGCTGGAGAAATTTACCAGGAATTTTGTTAACAAATGCTCGAGCTTTCTCAGCCCGTTTCAGAGTGAGGTGTGCTCCTCTTCCAGCATTATAACGGTTGTTATCCTAAAGTTTGAACAATCTGAAAGTCATAAACCTAGTTGTGGGAAACAAGACTCTACATTATTCAAAGAAACAAGATAAGTTTGATTCCAACCCTATTGTACTCTTCCAGCCAACCCTCTTCTTCACATGCAGCCAACCACTTCTCCACCTTCTCGAGTATATCTTTGCGGCTGAAAGCTTCCTCTCTAACCTTCGAAATATGAAGGTCAATTTGTTCCAACAGGTACAGAGGATCAATGGCACCTGCAAAACATTTGTGATGGGATAACAAATAGAGTATTGGTGAATCATGGCCCTTCCAGGCCAAGTTCATTTTAAAATTAAATTAAAACACGTTCATCAAAAATTGGAAACCTTTCAGGATGTTCACTAGCACTTTAACTTGCTGTGAAAGCTCACAAGTCACAGGTTAACAGAATGAATTTCTTCATGTTATCAAAATAATATAAGTAGCAATGGTTTGGGCTTAGATATTTACCAGACTCCATAGCTTCAATCGAATAATCTATTGAAATAAGTGCTTCCATCACCATGTGAGTCCTTCTGCACATATCCTCTAATTCAACCTTCTTTTTCAGAACAATTTCCTTCATTCTACTTGTTTTGAGCTGCTGCAACCTAGACACTTCCTCCTCAACCTACATACAGATAGTTCTTACAATTCATTCCCCAAATAAACACAGTGAAAATTGGCAGTAAAAGTCAAGAAACATAATTGAAGAGTACCAGAAGTCAATGAGTCTAAAATAGTGTTCTCACTTTTTTAATACAGTCAATGGAGAGCATATTGGGCTCTGTAATTTCAGGTTCAGAAGCTGCAATTTTACAGGTAACATTCAGAAACATCTGTTGTTCCTCTATTGGAGTATCCATCAAATGCCAAAGCTCCAACAATGCAGATGCAAGATCTTGAATCTGGTAGAGGCACAGCTCAAAGGATCAGAAGTACCAAGCGGAAACAAATGTTCAAGGTTTCAAAGCATAAAAATGAAAAAATAACTATTTTTTTACTGGTACTAACCTTCCGCATTCTCTTTATCTTTAGCTCCAGCAGACTTTGAATTTGAGCAGCCAACCTTGCAATTGTATTGTTACTTGCATCTTTTTCTGCATTCAAATCATCCAAGGTAGGGTGGATTCTACACACTGTTTGCTTGAAATCCATACCAAGGACTGTGCACAGTGAGTTTATAGTATTTAGGTGGTCTTGCACCTGATTCAAACGATTGATCTGCAAGTGATATCAGTGAGATTACTGTCATTTTGATATACTGCTCAACTAAACCACCAAAATCCTAAATTACATGTGACTTGTCAATCAATATGGATACACTAATTCTATGCTCTCAATTATCAAGACTCCTGTTGCAAGCGTCATCATTGAGGGATAACTGATCATAGGGACTAACCTTCTCATTTTGAAGTTCATGCATCTCACTCTGTAATTTTTCAAGTCTTCTTAGGGAGAGCTTGGTCTCGTCAACAAGCACCTTATTGCCATTTTGTTCTTTAACCCCCAAAATCTCATTAGATAATTTTTGTATTTGTTCTAGAACTCCAACAAATTGATTAATTCTTTCCACTTTCTTCCTACGCATATCCTCCAACAGTGGACTAATGGTTTCAAGCTCTTCCTTCAAGTTCCCGCCAGGATTCAAATCATGCTGAATAGATGTAACCAATGGCATAAAATTACTCACAAAATCTGAAACAAGCCGGTTAACTAATACAAATCTATTGATTGAATACTAGTAACCGCACTTACATGCACTGACTTCTCCCCTATAGAAGTACAGATATCTGAAATTTCTGCCTTGGCATTGGCAATATCTCGTTGCAATTTAGTTCTGTATTCTTTTGCCTCGTCTACCTTTTTCATGTAGATCTTGAGGCACTCTTGTTCGAGTTCAAAAAGCATTGTATCCCGTTGGTCATCAGCCTCCCCAACTTCATCCCATAGTTTCTGTTATAAATAAAGCGAAGACAACTTTAAAAATATTTCGTATCGAACGGATAGGCAAATGATAAATATGCTTCGAGAGGTCTTAAGGAGAACCTGTAATTCACACAACAATGATCCGCAAGTTGTTTCAATGCGCGCAAACTGCTCACTGTAATGATTTAACATGGAGCCGGCAATATTCTGCAACAACAAGAATCCCTTTTAGTCTCGCAAAGAAGAATAAAATCGAAGAATAAAGTCGAAACTGAAAAAAAAATGATGGAATTGCTTACCTAGTTTTATTTTCCTTTTCTCAATTCAACTTTCAACTAACCAAACAGGAAATAATATAGTAAATAGTAATCAATGATTTTCCAGGTTTTCGAACTCTAAGTAAAACAGAACATGAAAAGATAGAATGAGATCTTGATGATGCAGATTTACGGTTTCTTTTTGTTTAATTTCTAAAAAAAAAATAAAAGAAAATGAAACTCAGTCAATTATCAATCGAGTGCATAACACACTGATCATTTAAACCTCACTTTAAAACAATGCTTTCTTTTTCTTTCATATTCTCGTCAACCAAACAGATGCCGTGATAATTAAGCTAAAATTCAACAGATAAACAAACCAGTTTCGATTCAAAGTAAAACACAACCATGAAAAGGGAACCAAAAAAAAAAAAAGTGAAAATTACCGTGGACTTTTTCGAAATTGGCAACGGTTGTCGCTCAGTACCAAGCGGAGGTGATTGATGATCGGAGATCCAATTGCAGATGACGAATGATTTTGGATTTGATTAGATGAGGGAATTGCGGATAAAACAAGAGAGAAAACGTAACGCTTGATTTTGAGCGAGATTCTGAGAGGGAAAAGGGGGCGCGGGAGGAGCCGTTATGTGGGGGGTTGTACGAATATAAATAAAACAAAATAAAGTTGATGTTGACACGTCATTGGTTAGTGGGGTCTACTGCTACGCGGCAAAATCTGGAAGGCTCCAGTCATTATTACCGTTGCTTTTTCTTCGGTGGGGGATCCGATTGGGGTCATTGAACCATAATAAGGTTTTTGAATTTCAAAATGTCTTCTCACTGTTACTGAAATAAAGGGCGCATCGACTATAAAACATCAATCAAAAAGAAAAAGATAAGAAGATTAAGGTCCAACGCCCTTTTTTTTTTTTTTCCTTTTGTAGACAAAAGTCCCGAACCAACGCCTTTCAAACTTGAAACTATTGGGCGGACTAACTTTCATGTGGATACGGAAGGGAAGCCCGACCCATGCTCATATCCATGCTCTGCATTTGGGTGGAGGTCCAACCGTGACCATCCCCGTTCTTATATATTGGGTCAGGCTTGGCACGTTCCAAAATCACCTATTTTAATTGTTTTTTAATCAAATTATTGCATATAAAATATGTAATTGTTTTTATCTAAAAAATGCATGGTTTTATTTATTTTTCCTTCTTTATAGATTAATTATTTTATACTTGGTGCTATATTTGTTAATTATTTGTTCATTACTAATTAAGTATAGTAACTTTTCACAATGTCAAATTACCAACAAAATAAAATCTAAAATAACTTATAAACTTGTTCACAAGATGAGTTGGAGGCTTGGAGTCGAGTATTGGATTATGAACTTTCAAGCTCTGGCTGGCTCAATCCGAGTCATATACATATTTTATTATTAATAATTCATTTTTATTTATTTTCATTTAAATATATATTTAAAAATATTGTTAATAAATTTTTAAATTGATCTTAAATGGACTTTCATGAGCAAGTCAGACTTGAGATAAATATTTTTAAATATCAATAAAATCCAATCAAATTCATGAATTTTATTTATGCATTGGGTCTCGCAAGTTATAAATATTTAACTTTGCAGCATTAAAAAAAATAATGTAAAAAAGGTGGATAATTTACTTTTATCATTTTAAATATTCAATAAAAGCTTTTTAATATTATTCAATTTGAATTTATCTTTTTAAAATAGTAGGCAACAAATAAGAGGAAAATATTAAGTGATTTTTTTTTCTATATTGACATTGACAATAACATGTCTAAAACTCACTAGGCTTGGATACCCTCTCGTTTCAAAGGAAAAAATGATTTATTGCGCCCCTTAATTCTCCTTAAAATTCATGCCATTATTACCTGAGAAAAAAAAAATGGTAGCATCTAGCATGTGTTGTTAAAAATCTTGTTAGTTTAAATTGAACAAACTTTTATCAATTTGGCAAAATTAATGTTAGAGCCCTAATTAATCTTAATCTTAGACTTACACTTATGATAAAGATTCTTATGACAAAGATTAATAGTATGTCACGTCGTAGTGCACCAATACAACTAATAAAGCAATAAGATATGGATCATTTGCTATGGTCTCAAAAGCGGGGATTTGTCTTCAGCTTCTGACTTAGTGGCCAAAAAAACTTTAACGAAGATTTTAAAGTTGGGTTCGACTTTAAACTCTCTTCTTCTCTTGTTGTAAAATTCTGTCTCATTAAAATTAAAAAAAAAAGGGGGGGGGGGGGGATTTAGCCGTATACCAACAATGGAAATTTTGGGCCACTAGTTTTCACCTTGGATTTTAATATTCCAACGTGGCAGTAGCCTTTATGGTGCTAACAACCAACACTGTCGAAAATACATCTAATCAAAATCCGGTCATTCTAAAGAAAGAAAAAATGTAGAAAGTATAGAATAAAACACACTGCAAAAATGAAAAAGCAATAAATACAAAACAAAGTAAAAAAATATATTTGTATAAAACTCCAAAAATTAAAATTGAAGCCGAAAGAGTAAAGGCGAGGAAGGTACTGGGGAGCTCCCCTTCCCTTTGGCTCTCTCTTTCTCTCTCTCGTTAGCTGCATCTTCTCCGACGCCATTTCTTTCCATGATTCCCCACAAAACCGAAGACGATCTCTTCCGTCACCACCATAATCTGGGCTCATCTCCCCAGATCATCCATACGCAATCACGGCCGTCCGTTTCCCCTCACGATGACCCACCCGACTCTTCCTTCTCCCTCCCCGAAATCGTCCTTTTGCGCTCATCTTCTTCCGCTGACTCACCCAGTTATTCCGATTCCGAAAACGACGACGTCGCAGCTACTCACCCCGCTCCTTCCTCCGCCGCAACAACAACAACCGACCTAACTAGCGCTACTCATAAAATTGCCAATCAGCCCCTCGGCTACATTAGCCCCGAACCTCACATTTCCTCTCAGTTCTACACCTTCAACGCCGAGTCCCATTCCCTTATGATCCGCTGCATCCGTGAGCAGCGTTTAGCAACTCCAGCTGAGATCCGAGCCGCCACGCCTCGCTCCGTCCTCAAATCGTGGCGCGCCGTGTGGAAGGACCGCAACGAGGACACTGCTTACCTGACCGCGTGGAAGCGAATCCAGGACAAGCTCACCGCACACGTGGACCCCAATTCCTGTAACGAATTCCTTTGCTTCAAAAACAATTCTAATCAGTTCGTTTCCCATGTTAATCAATGGCAAGAAATCGTCATGAGTTTCCATGGCGACGCCGATTTAAAACACTTAGGGCTTAAAGAAACAATAGAGAGAGTCAAGCAAGTGTGGAATGTAGGTGCTAAGTTCTATGGAATTCCCGAGAGTTACATTAGGGTTTGTGTTGCGGCTTGCCCTGTATGCAATGCTTCCTCGGGGTCTGCTTCCAGGAGTAAACGGCGTCGTTTTGAGTACACAGAGTCTTTTGACGTGCCTGCAAAGGAGGTGCCTCATAGGTTGCAGCAATTGGCTGCAAAGCACAAGGTTGTGCTCTGCATTAGACAGAAATATATTAGGTATAAGCCTTTTATGGCCGAGGTGAAGGATTATGCCTGTCATCGAGCAGGGGAACCCGCGGCAAAGAAGTCAAGGATTTTGAAGAGGGAACCATATGCATCGAAGAGGTGTGGTTGTGGATTTAGAATTAGGGCAATAGTGCCAATTGCCAATTATAATGAGAAGGATAAGACATTTGTATATCAAGAGGAAGGGATGGCAGTGTTTAAGTTGTATGCGGTGCATACTGGGCATGAGCCAGGGCCGCTGGATGGGAATGCAAGGATCATGCATCGCATTGTTGGGCATAAGGGGGGGTTTTTGATGGACCAGGATATGGTTTATGGGGTAAGTGAGGATTTGGATAGTGAGGGGCTTGGATTGATAGGGAAAGCAGAAGGAGAGTTGCAGCTGGCCATTTTGCAGCAGGTGCAGGAGTTGAGAGCTGAAATCGGGTTGTTAGAGGGGAAGATTGGCAAGATTCCTCGTCAGTTGTTGGGTTCGGTATCTAGGGAGCTCCGTGATATTTTGAGTAAAGTTAGAAGTTTAGGGGAAGAGGGCCCAAAGTCAATGGAATTGCTTTCTGACAAGCCTCATTCAGATGACATTTTGGTAGGAGAGAATGATTTGACACACTGGAGTAATCACCATCATGATCAGTTATATGGGGATGGCAAGGATACTGAATTGATTGAAGATGATGAAGACAGTTTTGGAAGGACACTTGAGGATGTTGTTCCTTGGGACCAAATGAGGACGGATTGTAGGAGTCACAAGGGTCTGATAAGTGAGCCTTGTAAGATGGATAAATGGTTGAAATGCAGTGATTTTGATGAGAAGAGCATTCTTGACTGTGAAGATACTAAACTAACCAAGCCCATGAGACATGATGATGGTATAGTGGCAGATGTAGGTCTTGTTGGCATTCAGGTTGATAGTTTCTACCAAGAAAATCCTAAATGGTATGATTCTCCTTGTGCATTAGATTCCAGCACAGATTGTGGTGACAGTGGATTTAGACATGGGGAGATCGTGTAGAGTCCTGAAGAGCCAGGTTAACCTACTCTAACATAATCATGAATTTATATTGTCACCTTCATCCCTTCTCACTGTTGGCACTGGATTGTACATTTATGTATACTGAAGTTTGGAGCTCCTCACATGCTTTAGGTGTCTTTGTTGTGTGTGGTTTCTGTAAAGCATAGCCAATGGGGCTCGTCTGCACATATCTTATGTATAACTATTTGTTAACCATGTTGTGGACATTCATGATTTTTAGCTGGGTTCCTCTTACAATGGACACCAGTTACTGTTTTCGTAACACTTTCTTTTAGGTTCTTGTATGTATAATTTAGTATATGTCCAATCTTTTTCATCTGGCCCTCATTATGACGTGAGTGTTCCTTTCTATTCACTTCCATATCACTTTCATCTTCCTTTGTTTTAAAGCTTATTAGTGCATGACGTGGTTCACCTCTCTTTGCTAATTGTTGGTTTAATCATGCTGGTGGTCATAATGATTCCCCAAATAGTCTTGATGATATCTAGAGGCTTCGTAATTTGTATGTTGCTTTATCCTCCCTTTGTTTGCTCCTTTTTTTAATTGTGTATTATGAATCATTGTATTAATTATCTGTGAATCATGCATTCAAGAGTTCTTTTTCACTGCACCTTCTACCTGGAGAGCTTGAGATCAAGTTCTATCAAGGAGCTTTCTTCAACTGAGTTGGTAGGTAAGGCTACTGCCATGTTCGTTTTTCTGTGGCTATATCACTATTAATTTTTCCTTTACCCTGCTTTACTGTATCCTAACTCTATTTCCTTAGCTCTGCTAGACTTTGCATTGATATGGACAACCTGATGGTTGATGGAGTCTGGCTTGCTAGGGTGTCTGTATCATAACTCTGGTATTCTTACCCTTCCCAATGTCATTGTCTTCATAATACTCTTTGTTTAGAGAAAGATTGAGCATATGCCTTTTTCTTTTGAAATATATAATTTGGAGGAAAGATCTTGCTACTGTTTAGGTTATCCTCTGCTTAATGGCTGTACTCAGTAAGTCAGTGTAGGAATCCCAATAAATCTGGTTTTTGTTTTTTTGGTTTCTCGTTCCATTACCATGTTAAGTTGTTTCCTGGTGTCCCTTGTGTTTTAAAATGTTCAACCGCTCTTTGCATTCCCTTGTGTCCATTGTAGATATGATGCTTTCTTATATAATGTTTTAAATCAGTTAATTATAATGAAAAGGAAATACCACTTCTTTGGTAACTGCGTTCTAAACTTTGAGTTTTCAGATGGTAGATAAACTCATGTGTAATCCATGCCCCCTACTTTAAACATTGGATTCATTTGTTACTGTGTTTCTATGTGTAGAAAGTTTGACTGACTGTATGTCTATAGTTAGGTATTGCAGCTTTCAAATTGAACTATGAATTGATTTGTATGTTTTCTTAAACATATTTTATCTTTGCAGTCAATTTCTTGAGGAATTGATGTCATCATGTTTCTGCTTTATCTGTAGTGACAGGTATCACTTGAAACATGTATGGTTGTTAGTAACTTTCCCCACTATATATATATGTATATATATATATATATATATATATGCCCTGTTGGACTTTGTATTCACTAAATTAATCACTGGACTTGATATCATATTCGCACATATTATGAATGCCTTCCATTTTCGAAGTAAGTTGGGTTTCCTATGGTTATTCTGTTGGTGTAACTAATCTCTTTTACACATTTGTAGATATAATTGTTACTAGTTGATGCTATAGCTTGAGATATACGATTCAACTAACCAGAATTGGCAGATTTGGTCTACTTGGAATTACAGAATTTTGTTAATAAGACATTAGGAGCCACACGGTATGCTCCTGAGTTTTCTTGTTGGGATTCTGTAACAAGCAGATATGCTCATAACTGTTAATTTTAAAGATTATTTAACACTTTGTTATGTTCAATGGAATTAGCATTGCATTACTAATAACAATTCTTTCTCTGCCATGTCAAACGTTCTTCTTGGAATGAGCATATTCTGATGTGGAGGATCCCTGTCTGAAACTGACATTATATGATATCTGATCTAGGGAAAATGGGCTGGTTTTCCAGGCATGGCATCGGGCATCATATGGTTCTTGAAGCAAAGAGCATTCTTGACTTGATAGATGGATTGATGAAAAGAAATTTTGGATTGGTAGTTCCTTCTCCCTATGTGATTATGTATCGGTATGTTCTTGTCTGTCTCCGATGTTCTGGAGATGTTGCACCTGTCTTCGCATATAAGGTGAAACATGAAATTTGAGAATGAGAAATGTCAGTCTTACTTTGCTGCAGGATCCATCTTCCTATAGGAAATTGATTTATTATTGCATCCATTAGCTATTTAGCTATGGGTTCAGAATTCATTAGTTCTTCCAACATTATTTTGGTGTAGAACTGGGCTCTATTTTGCTGGATTGTCTCCTTATATAGTGGAGTCTGGGACTAGATCACTGTGCATGCATAGAATCTAGTTTCCACTTTCTAGAGCGTTGAGATTTTGGACATTTTGGTGGTATAAAATAAAAGATCAAAAGATGGACGCAGCATGATGGTTCTGTGATGATTTGTTTAGTGTGTGCTTTTACAGAGTGCGTATAAGATGATGCATAATTGGACATGGCCTGCCTGTGATTTGAAATGGTTTCGGCCGCATAGCCTCTCTGTTTTACCATTACAAGTGTTTCAGGTACCAATCTCCCAAAAGTCATCTAATCTGCATCACAGTTTGTATTAGGAATTCAACAGTTCAGTATTCAATAACATTATCTAACCTGCATGACAACTGACTAGTTAATGACAATTCTGTAGGTAGATCTCATCACATGAATTTGGGGACTTGCTCTCGTGTTGCACAATTCTCAGATTTACCTGACAATAGTTCTTGAAGTATGGGGATGGTGTGGCATGCGGTGAAGATGAGAAAATACTGACTCGTTTCAGCGACTCTCAGAAACAAACGAGATGTCTGTGGGATTCTGTGCTCACCCAACCATTGACTTAGCTGTTTAACGCCAACGTGTCAACGCCGACCTCTGACCGTTTCATCTAGAGAAAAAAAAAAGGTTAGTGAGTAAGACGTATGACGTTTTCCCGTTGCAGATAAAATCAAATCCTTGGATGCAAGTGTTGCTTTTGAGTTGCTAGTTTCCGGTACTAGAAAATTAAATCATTTCCTCTGTTGGGGGATAACAATGGCATGCATGCCTTAAAGAAGCATGTTAGATTTTGTAACAATCCAGACCAAGGAACACTTTAAAAAATGAAGCAGTGCCGCTATTTGCACTCTAGTAGAAAAATAGGGGTGCGATTTCATTAGATTCCAGAATCAATAGTGGTTTTCTGAAACAAAGTACATGAAAAGATTATGCAAGTTAATAACAATTAGAAGTTTTAGCTGGAAGGTGAAGATATCTGGAGACAAATTCCCGGGCTAGAGCTTGAAGCTCCTTGTTTTCCATTCCTTGATCAAAGGGATTTGGAAAACTTGTCAGCTCGATGGAAGGATGTTGTGGTTGTGGGGGGTCAAAGTGCATCGACATGTTAGAAGAAGACACCAAGTGAGATCCTATATCTGAAGTAGCATGAAGGCTTGACGGCGAAGGGCATTGGCCTTGGGCTTGAAATGGCGGCATTTGAGGGAGACGGGGCAACGCAGAAAGACGGGCCTGAATGTAGGCTAACTCTGCCTGTAAAATCTCTGCCTACAATCATACCAAAAAGTTAAATTTAACTTATTGATCGGAGAGTACATATATCGAAAGAGCAAGAGGCTGCCGACAGTGGAACGTTGAAACCGGCTAGAAAATAAAATTAACATAATGTTTAAATAAATAAATGAATAAATAAAGGTTTCTTGGCTAGATAATAGACATAACAGAGTCAAAATGAACCTTATTATACGTAAAATATTGGTAAATATCCATCTTTATCACATCATTTAATATTATTAAAATATGATTTATGTTACCGATAGAATATTGAATATATATAAAATCTGATCTAAATAAAAAATAACTATTTGTCTTTATCTCTCTCAAAGAATTTAAAGTAATCAATCTTAAGAAGATAATGGTATCCTGCCTAATTCAAGCTCATACTCTTTTTGTGTTCATCTGCCCAACAAATGGAAGTGGAGAGAAGTGAAGAAAGTGTATCCTAATTCTTGAAACTAGTATTGTCAAATACGCGTTCAATATGGCTACATAAATAAGACTATCTTGCTTCCATTAAAAAACCAGATTTCATGAAGCGATAAGAAGATAGTCATTCATATTCCACGAGTTTCACAAAAGGCATTTTACGAACCCTTATGAGTAAATCACACCATCAAAAAAAAAAAAAGGAGAGAACTTGGTGAAGGAAGTTCACCATGATGGAACCTGCACATGGTAGGACGCCTAAATGCAAGAAACGTTACATGACCCATTAATCAATTCTTAGTTGTAACAAATCATAAATCATAGTTACTTTATAAACGACGCTTATAAGATCACTTACATTTTCTATTCTTTTAACATATTAACCATATGAAAAAAAAAAACTGCTAAGAGAAAAGATTAGCAAAGTCAAAGCCAAACTATTTGAATATTTCTCGAGTTGCTAAACTGGCTTGCTGGCTCCGGCAAGCAACCAGACCACTTAGCCATTCACCACAACATGACAGCCGCCAGCTCTCCCTCTCTGTCTCTCTTGGAACCGCTAGTTACTATGAAGTTTGCGCAATTTCAACTAAAAAAAGCTCCCAACGGGTTACATAACGAAAAAAAAAAAAAGATTACCTTTCCAAGTAAAATTTAGCCTGAGTTTCACCCACTGCTATTGAATGACCAACACTTTTTAAAATTTTTTGAGGTTTTACCCCAAAAGAGGAACTATAGGAAACAATACAATATACTTTTGGTGTTCAAGAAATAAATAGGGTTACAAAATTAATGTGAAAACCTTGACTGACTAGATTGCTTCTACTATATAAAATATATTCATTTGTCAAACTCTTACCCAATGGCTACACCCTCCAAGACACACGTTTGCATGAACACTTGAACTTTTGATTAAGTTTTAAACTTTTCTAGGGGTGGGAAGCCTATGCTATGAAACATCCGATTACTTTCGCCAAATCTGGGTATAAGATTTTACTCAAATTGGCTAGGAATGGACTACAATAAGCTTCTCTATTAGATTACTTCCAGTACTGCTCTAATTGAGAAAACTTGTAACGCTGGTGCATGCAAGAAGAAGAATAAAGGAACAAAATTTTTTAAATTTAAGAAATAAATCTTTATGCTTAACTCTAAATTATTTAGCTGCATGCATGCCAGCATGATTGGCCAAGGTTTCCTCTATAACCCATAAGTCAATCAATCTTGAACTCAAAAAAAAAAAAAAGGAAGGAAAGAAAAAGCCTAAGACCTAATAACACTGAAATCAAAACCCCAAACTTAACAAAGACAGATTTGTTATCATCTTTAATATAGTGACATACTTGAATGAGAGAAATAAGTACATAAAGAAAATTTAAAATCAATTACGGAGCTGACCTGTTGTTGGAGGGTGAAGATGTGGCCAACACAGCCGTAAACAGGGTCTCTAACCCTAGACAAAGCCTCATAACAGAGTGTAACTACAGCATCAACGCGCTTGTGCGCCGGTATTCGCTGCAGCATCTTGGATGCATTGCTAGCCCCAAAAACCTTGTGCACCGCAGCAAAGTCAGCCGTGCCTTGGTCCGAGTCAAAATATGGTGCAAATATGCACCCTTTCACGCACTTTCGCCGAAGAAATTTGCAGGCACCACAAGGGCCACCTCCGTTATTTGCACTCATCTCTCTCTCTCTCTCTCTTTGATATGATCTCTAATCTATGATCCCTCTCTCACTCTCTCTTTCTTTCTTCTAAGGAGATTATCTCTGCCTTTTAGAACTAGAAGAAAATAATATGTGGCATCTAAAGAAAGAGACAGATCAACAAAGAGGAGGGATATATATATCACATATGGGTGGGTATCTAGAGAGCAGACTGGGTTTTGTTTGTTAACTTAGAAACCTCTGCTAACTCTGGTGGTGGGTCATTGCAAAAAAGACTGGTAGTTCCATCCTTTATATTTCTCTCTCTCTCTCTCTCTCTCTCTCTCTCTCTCTCTCTCTATATATATATATATATATATATATATATATTTCCTTTGTTTCTGATCAAATACAGACGTATTCTTTTTTTTTTGGTTTCTAAACGAGGGATTCTTAAACGAGTTTATATATATTTGTTAATGTATTTAACCAGTATAATATATAACTCATTATTATATAAAAACAAATAGCTGCCCATCTTTTTTAATATTTTATTGTTTTTGAGTATTTTTTAATTAATTAAGTTGTACATATAATTTGGATTTAGAGATGTATATATATATATATATATATATTGTTAAAAGCATTTTTATATTCAATTTATATATGATTATTTATATAAATAGTCATATACAAATTGAATATAAGAATCCAAATCTATTTAATCATAATCTAATATATATATACATATATATATATATATATTATAATAACATATACAAACAAGATAGTTTGTCACATAAGTTTCTACGTGGATAATTTTTTTAAATGACACATAAGATAATTTTTTTAAAAAATAAGATAATTTTTTTAATTACAAATTAGATAATTTTAAATTTATTTAAATATCAAAATTATTCAAATTATAATTGAAAATTAAATCAATTTAGAGATATATATTCTAAAATTAAAAATATGAAATATGGATTTTATTTTTTTAATAAATAACTTTAGTTATTTACCAAATAATCTTATTTAAAAAATTATTTAATTATCAAAATGTTTCAAACATGTTTAAAAATTACAAAAATTAACTTTATCCAAATCTTTCAACAATCTTTTTTATTTTGATTTAAAAAAATTATCTTTTTAACAAATTTATGTAAGATATTAAAAATTTAAGTAATTTTATGTAAGATTTTGAAAATTTAAAAAATTTTAAACTTAAATATTTAAATAATAAGATTATTTAAATGATTATATCAATTTGAACTCTAATTATCAAATTTATATTTCAAATAAATGTAAAAAATTTAATATTATCTTTATCATTTATTATATTCATTTTAAATTTTAAAAATTATATATTTAATCATAATCTAATATATATATATATATATATAATAATATACATAAACAAGTTTGCCATATAAGTTCTTATGTGGACAACTCTTTTAAATGACATATTAGATAATTTTTTTAAAAAATAAAATAGTTTCTTTTAATTACAAATTAAATAATTTTAAATTTATTCAAATATCAAAATTATTCAAATTATAATTGAAAATCAAATCAATTTAGAGATATATATTCTAAAATTAAAACTATGAAATATGGATAATAAATAATTTTAGTTGTTTATCAAAAACCTTATTTAAAAAATTATTTAATTATCAAAATCTTTCAAACATGTTTAAAAATTACAAAAATTAAATTTATCCAAATCTTTCAACAATTTTTTTATCTTGATTTAAAAAATTATTTTAAAAAAAATTTACGTAAGATATTAAAAATTCAATTAATTTTATGTAAGATTTTTAAAATTAAAAAAAATTCATCTTAAATCTTTAAAAAATAAGATTATCAAAATGATTATATCCATTTGAACTCTAATTATCAAATTTATATTTCAAATAAATGCAAATAATTTAATATTATCTTTATCACTTATTATATCCATTTTAAATTTTAAAATTTATCTATTTAATTCTAATTACCACTAAAGAATTATTCTACAAATTTAAGAGTATAAATGTAATGTGTTATACATCAATTTTTTATTTTTTTAATAACTTTTTTAAATTTTTATTCTATTACTATTACAATTTTTTTGTTTATAAATTTTTCCTAAGATATATTTTATTGTTATTACAGTTTTATTCTTACGAAAAATGATTTTTTTAATTTATTTTTTCACATATTTTTTAACATTTTTCATATTTTATATAATAATTTAATCAAGATTACTAAAGTAAAAATGTGTTAATGTTTCTTTTATTATTTAATTTATCATTCAATAATATATATTTTAATTTTTTTAAAAAAAATTTTATTTTATTTGATATAATTTTACAGGTACATAAATATTATTATAAATAAAAATATTTAAAGAATAGATAATACTTTTTTACTATTTTCAAAAAATTTATTTTTTAATAGCAAATTAATATATAAAAATTTTATATATGTTATAAATTTTAAATATTTAAATATAATTTAAAAAATTAATTTATATATATTTATATTAAATAAATAAAATTATTTCGTATATATCACGGCTTATAATCTAATTTGTAATATGTAAGAGAGAGAGAGAGAGAGAGAGGGTCTATTTGTTTTTGGTTTAAAACTTTAAAGCCACGGCAAGGTAGAAGGCAGTAAAGGGGGCAGAGCAGCTGCTTGCGTGAAGCAAACAAACATGCGGATGCGGTCAGTGGCTGCAGTTTCTCAATTGTCTGCAACTCCCAACCGCCGCAGTCGCAGCCACGTGGGACAAACATCCTATCCAATCATCTTTCCCTTTCGTCACCTCCAACTTTTCAGCTTTTTCTCTGCTCACCACCCATCGCACAAACGTTGAACATAGATCACTGCTATGCTGGTTTTTCCTTCCCCCCCCCCCCCCCCCACACGCACGCACAGAAAAAATTGTTTCCCTTCCTCCCTTTCTCTCCTTTTTGGTTCCACCTTTGTCTACCCAAGAGATTAATGTGATGGGCTGAGATGCCTAACTAAATTGCTGCATTAAAAACAATATGGATGAATATATATATATATACACACATATATCCTTCATCGAAAAAAAAAAAAAAGGAAGGCATTTAAGCCTTTCGGTTTTACATACAGACAAAGTCCTGGGCCAGTAATCAGGCCCAATGACATCTAATTAAAAAACCCGGTTTGATTTGTATATGATTCGGTTCATTTGAATGAGGATTCTCTCTCTTTGTAGAAAACTTGGAATTACACAAGGAATCAGGAAGAGAAAAAGAGGATCGATGCTCTTTTTATATATGCAGATTGGAAAAACTCTTTAATCTGAAGTTGCACATATTGCCTTTAAGAACTTTAGCTTCTCTGTTTGAGACTGCTACAACAAATTGCAAATTTGTCATGTCGTGAAATTCAAGGTCATTATAATTGAAAATATCTGTACATATTTGAGTGCATTTGGAAGCTCTTGCGTATTTCTTGTTAAAGTAATGTTATTTTATATTTAATAAATATTTATTTTTTTATAATTTTTTTATTTATTATCAATTAATTTTAAATTGAATGTTTAACGTTTATGAAGATATTAAACATTTTAAATCCTTATAGCTGATCGCTGCAGGATATCTTCTAAATTAATGAACTTATATCGACTAATACTTATCCAATAAGCATGCTGAATTTTTTTGCCAAATAAAAAAAGGTTTTACAAATTTACAATCTCTCAGTGGTAATTAGTTTTTATTATATACAGCATGTGATAATTTTCTATAACTTTACAAAGTACTTAAAGAAGTAAATCCCAGAAAATAATCCTTTCAAAAGCTTGTGGAGTATAAGTACATATATGGCCGCATTGAATACAAGATATGCATGAGGGTGACTGCTATAATTGGTCTGGAAATTAGTGCAAAAGATAAAATGAATGCTGCTTTCCAACTCAAGGAAAGCACTGCAGATGCCGGAATAATATTATTGGCACATTATTATTATTATGGCATCATTGCCACGACAGTTCATGTTTACTGCAAACTGAGCTTCGTGGTGGGAAATGAAACTGGCACATGCTGGACTCAAGCAATAACTGCTCAAAAACGTGTTGGTTATCGAGATTTGAGAGCTCAGTCAAAATTTCACATTGCTTAAAGGGAGGGCAGTTTGAAAATCTTCAAACCTATTTCTGGTTTGAAAGGCCAAAGGGGCCACCCCTCAATCCGCCATGCAAATTCTATATTACTATACGGTAATAGACCGTTGGCATGGTTTCTATATAGTTGTAGTATTTTTAAGAACCAGAAATTTCTTTTCGTTTTTTAATTTTTTAATTTATTTTTAATCCATCAATTTTTATTTACTTGACGTAGCTATTAGACATCTAAATTCTTTTGATTAATAATTTTTAGGAGTTGATCCGAATACATGTTACGTGAGTTAGTACTCGGTAATTTATTTATATTTTTAAGTAAAAAATTAAAAAATATAAAAAAAAATTTCCTTATTTTATTATATATCATATTGTATTAACTGTCAATCCTTTTCACTACATGCATTGTCACATATTACAACTTTTTAACAAAATATAAAAATTAACTTAATTAAAAATATTTTCTAGATGCATGGTTTCTTTAATTAGTTTGACCATCTGATTTCTAAGTTGTAATTATTAAACATTAAAAGTAAATAATAGATTTCATGATTAGCCCGGTCCAAACACCTTTTTTTGACTCCATAATTTTAATCATAAATATATATATATATTTCCATTTAATAACCTGAAATTTTATTCCTTTAATAAAGTCTAATTATTAAACTAGCAAATTACACTTGACAGCGGCTTTGCCGTATCTTAAGGTGACATCCTGTAATTTATAATGCATGTATTTGATCATAAAATTCGTAAAGCTATGATATATATAATTAAATTAGGTGTTTGACCGCACGAGTGGGAAAACTTATGGGGTACTCGTTCATCTTTAATAATTGTATCACTAAATAAATACATTATTGAGCTCTGATGAGACTGTTTCTGTTTGTTAAAGTTTAGGCAAACTTAATAACAGGACAACTTCGCTTGATTATTAACACTTTAAAGAGACAATTTATTGAGGAAATTCAACGTTAAATTTTGTTTTGTCATGGAGTTTTGTTTGATTACTTGGACAAAAGAGGGCCTTCCCATCCAAAATTTGTGGTAACTTTGTTACTTGAACTTCCTACATGTTAAATCATAATTATAGCCAATTTGCTTATTATAATATTAATGTTGATATCATTTGTTTCCACTCAAACTTGTATATTTGAATGGTTTAGTAATTTTTTTATATAAAATAAATTATATTTTTTAAATTTTAAAATTATTAAATATTTTTATTATTTTAAAAAATTAATTAAATTAAATCTTAATTTTAAAAAAATTAATTCTAACAAATCCATATTGAAATTCAAAATCTTTTACTGTTGAAAGGACGGGGGAATATAAAAGGACATTTTTTGTAGACATGAGAGTGATGAGACAGACAACACGGGCTACTCGAATTGATAATGGCAGATGTTGTTTGTTTCTGAACAGCGTGGGGGTGCCAACGTAGCAGGTGCAGGAGATGGATGTATCATGTGGAACTGTTTAAACATCATCCGTCGGTCATCAAAGTCGTACCTTCGTCACACGTGTCTCTATGTTAGTGGTTTTAAGATGATTTCTGTCAATGGTCCTTTTCACGACACCCGGATTGGAGAAGAACCGGACGGCCCGGTGAAACGCCGTTACGGACTGTTACTGTTGTTTGCTGTATTTCTTCTCTTTTTTTTATCTTAAATATTTTTAGTGTTTGTATTTTGTACTTTCATCATTAAAAATTAAAAATAATACACTTTGGAAGATACAAACACTGTTTATATTTTTTAAATTCGAGAAAAAGAGGGAAGACGACAGTTACTTTATATTCAAGTGAACGGCGCGTGGGTTCCACTTGAAAAATGACGTCATCTTCTACATGGCTGTTACGTTCTACTTCAAGACATACACGTGGCAGCCACTCGTTTGAACAGCTCATGCTTCTGCTTTGAACGCCTAAATTGAGTTTTGACCTTTTGATTGGCTCTGCCTGTCCCTTCTTTCATCAACAATCAACATAAAGGTTTCTGTAAGGGGGGAGATTTCGGGAGGTTTTTCTTTTTCCATCTCTTTGATTTTGATTTGGCCGTACAAATGTAAAAGGTGTCACGTAATAAGAACACAACTGATGATGATCTACACCACAATCACTGTTGATGTTTGTCATCATCAAATTCATTACGTTCATCGACTATTCCATTTTAAGGGTTTTCCTGTTGCGAGCTTACCTGACATCTAAAGCCAAAGAATAAAATCTATGCGTAAGAATTTTGCTTGCTTGAGATGGTGATGTCTTTCCATTTGTAAAAGTAACCTTAGCGAAAGACAAATCAGAATTGACAGGGATATTGGATTAGACAAATCCAAGTATAATCACTTATCGGTAATTTCTCATATCCATTAACTTAAGTTGAAAACCCCATATCATTTATTAGACCCTAGTATATATAGTACTTAACCACAAAATTCAATTAAAGATAAACCTGAGGATAGGGTAACCAAGTCATTCTAAAAAATCCAGTGGGTTTATTTTGGCTTATCGTATATAAAAGGAAAGCAACAGTTGAGAGAGAGAGAGAGAGAGAGAGTTGGCGTCTTTTGCCCTCTACGCAGCTTAAAACACGGCAGTAGCAAATATAGATAGACCCCAATGACACGTTTCGGTTTCTAAATTCTATTCTTTTGTTTGCAAGACAGATTCAGATATAGGCCAAAGCAAAATTGTACAAAAAGTAGTTGTTTTTTTATTATTTATATACAAACAATACAACTAGAGAGAGAGAGAGAGAGAGAGAGAGCTTTTGAAGAGAGAAACTAAAAGAAAATGGGGAAGAGCATGTGTTTTGTTAGAAAATTCACGAGATAAAGGAAGGTAGTATATGGAAAAATAAAAAAATAATAAAAAAAGGCCAGTTGAGAGTAGCTGGGCTCATCGCATGTTTGCTTCACGCAAGCTGCTTAACGGGGGGGTTTGCTCTCTCGCGTGGCTTTCAAGACTTCTTCTAGCGTTTTAAATTCCGCATTAAAATACTCATCACCACCCCAAACGCCAAAAACCAACACCCACCAATCCCAAACCGTAAAAAAAACCCGATCTTCTTCTTTTCCTACTCCTCCTTTTTCTGACTTCTGGAAGAGCCCCACAAACCCTAATCATGGGACCTATTCTAGTACTTTAAAAGGGAAAGAAGGATCAGATTAAAAGAGTTCCAATCATGAGTTCAAACCCTAGCAGTAGCGGTGGTGTTGGCAGTTGCAGTAGTGGTGGTGGACCTTGTGGCGCGTGCAAGTTTTTGAGAAGGAAATGTGTGCCTGGTTGTATATTTGCGCCTTATTTTGACTCGGAGCAAGGTGCAGCCCATTTTGCAGCGGTTCATAAGGTTTTTGGGGCAAGCAATGTATCAAAGCTGCTTCTTCATATTCCTGTTCACAAACGGCTTGATGCGGTGGTTACCATATGTTACGAGGCTCAGGCTCGGCTTAGAGATCCTGTTTATGGCTGTGTTGCTAACATCTTTGCTCTTCAACAACAGGTAAATACAACTTTTCATCCTTTGATAGGGAATATGGGCCCTTTTAGCTGGACAGTTTAGTTTTATTTGTTGCTTTTGTTGTCTTTTTTTATTTTTTCTAGTTTCACCCTCTTCTTTATCAAGTAAATCGGGGAATCGTTTCTTCTTTTGAGAAGTTTCATTTTCAATTAAAAACCCTGTCTTCTGTAGTGAAATGGGCATTGAGGCATTGGCTTTCTTCGATTTGATTCAAATTAATTCAATACTTGAGGCTTTTATTGTAAGTTCTCAAAGGATCAAAGTCGACTCAGTTTATAAGTAGCTTTAGCAGAGAATTGGGTTATATAGATATAAACCTAAAGAAGGAAGCAGTACCGTCCGATGAAACATCCAAAGGGAGCCTCAAAACACCCTAATTTGAAACATCCTTTTCACACCATCTTAAAAGGAGCTGATTGACAAGAAATAGTAGTACGGTAAGAAAAAAATGCATGCATGGGGGGGAGGGTTCTTGCTTCGGAATCAGGTTTTGGCCCTTTGCTGAAATCTAGAACGTTTTCTTATAAACACGAATCATTTGGTCGGCGGTTACCTCAAAGGAATGGCCAGTTTTTTGTGCAAATTATGCATTTTGCAGGTATTAAGGAAATGGTCGTTTTTTTTCTTTCTTTATCCTTTTTTGGGGCGTTCATTTGATAGCTGGTTTTCTTGTTGTTGCAAGTCAAGGGCAAGATTTGTTTCCTCTTCCCAATTGAAGTACAGTAAATATGGGTACTTCAGTTGATGATATATGCAAATCAACTAATGTAAAGATAAACCCTAAAAAAGTATTGGGATGACTCCGATGCTTTATCTTGATTACCTTAAGGCTAGGTGGGGGCTCTAGTCTAATCGTCCTAGTTGTTTAATTAATAGATTGAACCCTTCCTAAATACTATCTTTTTTGGTACATTGGTACGTAGTAGTGTACCATTCCCAAATACTTTTGTCTTATTTTATACTTTTTTGGATCAAAAAAATATGATGTAATAATTAATGGTGCATTAGAAATGACTAACCATCATCTTGCTAGGCAATTATGCCATGGAAATTCTTTGCAGTCAACATTAATTAATTTTGTTCCTCTTTCATAAGAAACTTTATTTGTTGGCAACACCATGTTCTCGTGCACATTATCCGAGCATCCTTTTAGTGTAAACAAAGACAACAAGCCTTACATTTGCCTAAAATATTGTTTAATTTCTTTTATTGATAATCTAAACGGGTTCCATTCACTTGTTCATGATTGATTCAAATTATTCTCTTTTCAATTTATCTAGTAAGTATTACTTGAATGCATACCTTTATATGTTTATTTTTAGTAATTGCTTGGCAGGTGGTGAATTTGCAAGCAGAGCTATCGTACTTACAAGCCCATTTAGCTACACTAGAGCTTCCATCACCATCGCCGCCTCCACCTCCGCTAATGGCACTGTCTCCTCTTTCAATATCAGACCTCCCATCAGCCTCTTCAGTGCCAGCCACATACGACTTGTCGTCACTTTTTGATCCTATGGTGCAGCCTTCATGGGCCATGCAGCAGAGACAAATCGATCCACGCCAATTTGGAGGCAGTGGCTCATCATCATCAACTGGTAGCGGCGATCTCCAAGCGTCGGCTCGTGAGCTCCACCATAGACAAGGGTCTCCGCAACTGCCATGCACCGAAACTTCACCATCACCATCTCTCTCAAAGTGAGACTGACCCTTCCCTCAGTATATACTTGTCTTGAAATCTCTCTTGCTCCATGTACAAGCTAGCGAGGGGGCCTAATTTCTTGTTATATTTCAATGGCAAGTAAGCTTAATACCTAATTTTGTTCTTTCTTTTTTTCTTCTACATTAATTTTTTTATTCCTCTCTTTTAATATTTCTTTCTTGAGATATCAGTGAAATTCAAATTTAGTTTATTTCTGAAGGCGTATATAATTTATTTTCAACTATTTTCCTTCTTCATCAGGATCATGTTTGCGTTATTTTCATCTGATCACTTCTAAGATTAAGAAACTTTAATACCATTACCACGTTAATATTGTAAGGCAAACACTTTAAAGACTTGATTTATTCTTTCCCAAGTATACATACAAGCTAGCAACGGGACTTTAAGGATTCAATAATCTTTTAACATGTGCCAGAGTGCACCTTGCAGACTCTAAAATATTATTCATTGGTCCCATGCACAAGCCTCTTATCCGGGGAAGCAAGACAAAATAGAGAAACTCAAGTTGGGTTTAGGGATGATCAGGTTCGAACTGAAGACTTCACTCAGTGGAATAAGGGGTATTTATGGCAGAATAGACTAATTGGGTATTTCACAATAAAGTAATAGATGGCACTGCGATTATCCTGTTATTCTAAAAATATATACATATAGATACCGTACTATCAACAAGATTAGCTGTCAAAGGTGTCTATCCAGCTGTAGATCTTTTGGACTCAACGTCAACTATGCTCCATGAGTGCTCTCTTATTCCGACTTTCCCAAAGCCTCCCCCTCCCTTAGCATAGTCGAGACAACAAAGGGTTCTTTGTCTTGTGCAGATCAAATGACAAAAGTTTTGATAATTCAAAAAAAGGTCATGATGAAACAAGCTGTTTATCATTATGATAGGTGTCAAGTGAAAATGTAATGTGTATGCAGGTAAGGCATCCTGGTAAGGTCTCTCAAAAGTAAAACAAGTGTGAAAAAGTGCGTTTAATTGGTTCAATATCGAAGAATCTAAAAAATAAAAAATAAAATTGAGGGTTGGAATGAATGTATAAAATATGCTTTATTCAAATGATAATCAAATTTTTTGTGTCATAAAAATTAAATAAATAAAAGAATTAAATCGGGTTGCGGGCAGTCAAATTCGATGCGCTGGAACAAACAAAAAGCCCACACGTACAGGCCAAACCTAACTTTGAACCTACTATTTGTATCATTCTTTAGCTTCCTAGTAATTAGACTTGAATTATTTTCATTGATAGTTTAATTGACTTCTTCCCCTCATCGCCATTAATTCCGATTTCCGAACTGTATTATCGATAGTGACCGAGGAAAAACATTTGTACACCTACAAAGATAATCAAATAGCCACCATCATTTTTCGTTTTGGGGCGAAAGTGAAAATGCCTTCAGACATTCAAATTTAGAAAAATCCAGCTTGTGTAGTCTTGGTTCCACCATATTTCGACCCCCAATTTAGTTTCGATTTGAAACTTTGATTTGTATTGTTGGCATGAAGGAATTGGGATTTGGGAGGACCAAGTACTGAACCCAAGTACTGAATCTTTGTCTTTGTTTCATGGGTCTGAAGCTTTGGATACCAAATTATGGGCCCAAATCAGATCGGCTCTTTTACCTTTGAAGCGCAGTCGATCAGATTAGAAAGAGACGCTCCACCCCTTGAAATGTTAACCCCATCCAAATCTCAAAATCCATCAATAGAAAATGCAATACACATTTTCCGGTAACAATTATTATAAGCTAAAGGAAAAAATGAAAAAAAATTAAGAAATTAAAAAAAAAAATCATATCGAAGGCTTCGAGATAAAGTGAACGAATGCGAGAATGATTTTGAGAAATTCTTAGGATTTTTTAGTTCGTGGTTTCAATGGGAAGAACAAATTTTTGAAAGAGAAGAATGAGAGGCATGGGCTAAAGCCCAAAGGCTCCGTGAACATAAATAAGAAAATCAGATGATAATGATAAGCAAAGTAAATTGCGCGGTTTTATTTCCCTTTCTTTTTTTTTTCTTTTATTTCTTCAGTTTTGAGTTAACATGAAAAAAATAAAATTTTTCCTTAGAAAACAGTTTTCGTTTTAATTTTTGGATTGTTTTGTTTTAGCCATGAATTTTAGCAACTTAACATCCATAATAATAGAATATTGGTTTTTAATGGATTGATAATTAAACTTATCACTGCATATTTTATTATCAATGCTAACAAAAAAAAAAAATATATGTTTAAAAATACAGGGTGAAATAACAGTTGTGAAAAAGTATAAGATCCAAAGCTCATTGAAAATGTCATCCTAAAAATTAGGCATATGCATATTCAATTAGCATGTGATGTATTTATACTCAAATAAAGTTGACTTGAAGGAAAAGTTGACGTATTACAATTAACATTAATTGATTTTTTAAAATTAAAGTTAACATTACCTTTTATGTGATTTAATAATGTAAATTAAACTCAAAATAAAATAATATGTTATACATACCAAATTTAATAATGTTACTTTTCTTGCAATTTGATATTCAACAATTAACTTCTTATGTCATCACTTTCTATCGAAATTAAAATATGTGAAGTCAGACCAACTAACATTTACATGAATTAACATGATAATATAATTGATGATTACGGATTTAAATGAATTTATATAAAAAATAAAATAAAATTTAATCAAATAAATATAAAAGTAATAGTTTAATAACATTTTTTTTTAATGAGGAGTAGTCTACTAATAAGGAAAGCAATGATTTTGAAGTCATTACATTGCTTTCTTATTATGTAATATCTTTCAAGTCCTAAGGAAAAATATTAATCTTTGAAAGTTATAAGAAAAATTTTCCATTTTTCTTAAAGTCATGAATTCAACGAAGGTGTTGTTTCAAAGTTTCCTAGACATTTATTTCATCAATTATCTCATACCATACATTTTTTAATAATTAATTATGTTATTTTTTGAATTTTGTTAATTATTGTTTAATAGACTTAAGATAATCTTATAAATCCGTTTTTTAAATTTTTAAATTCAACATCAATATATATGTACCATATATATCCTATTTTAATCATATAATATGTTAATTTATTTTGCCTTTAATTATTATTCCTTAGACCCCTAAATATTATTCAAGAGAATTTAAATAATGTATTGTTTACAAATGAATTAAGTAAATAAAAATTGAAAATCAAGAAAATTTAAATTAAAATACAATAATAATATAATAAGATAATTTGTCTAAAATGGATAAAGCGTAATTTTCTCTTTTTTTTTTCTGATAAATATTTATAAGAAATTTTTTGCCTGTAATCTTTGATAAGATTCAATGCAAAGATATACGTAACCAATTATTTATCTATAAATCCTTTTTATTGTTATTCTTGATACTTGTTCTTTTTTTAAAATTTATTTTAAATAAACAAAGCAAACATATTTGAACATAAAACGAAACTTATTTCAAATAATCGTGAATAAATCACAAAATATATGATTCTACTTTTACATAAACGAATAGTATGATTAATGTTATATTTTAATTATTATTTATATATATCACAATTAGCAAAGCTAGTTATAAAATATGCTATAATTGTGCAAATATAAATAAGAATTAGTATTATTTTAATTAATATTTACGTTATATTTAGCTAAATATTAATAAATGAAAGAAAATGAAAGTTTTTTAAAGGAAATGAAATGACATATGTAACTCTTGTTTTGATAATTAAAATTAATAAAAGAAATGAAAAGAAAATAATTCTAACAACAATTGTTTTAATAAATAATGGAAAAAAAATGAAATGATTCATTATAATAATTTTTTTTAATTATAACATTTCATCACCTGTGATTTTCGAGCCTTCATAAATCATGATATGTTTACTATTTTATTTGGTATCGCAATTGCTACATATCAATGGTTTTTATTTAAGTGAAACAGGAAATATGTTTTACAAATATGAATTAATGGATTTGAACTAGTGTGACATCTCATAAACCCAAAAAATATATCTATTCATATTCAATCATTCATCAAAATTAAATACCAAAAAATTATAAAAAATTTTTATATTGGAAGAGATATGTGAAACTTATTTGAAAAAAGAGATGACTTTAAAAAAATTATAAGATGATTATGATCTGCTTAATTTTTTATTAGATTTTTAGTATTAATAAAAAGATGAACATAATAATTTTTTTATAAAAAAATTTAACTTTATTTTCCCTAGTTTTTCCTCTAAATTGGAATATTAAAAAAATTAGATTTACAAAAAAAATCAATGGTTACTTAGTTTCTGCTTATTTTTCTTTATTTAAATTAAAAATTTATTCAAAAAAAAAGAAATGTTATTTCCTTTATATTTCTTTACTTTATTGTTCTTTTTTTCCTATCCCTTAATCCAAATACATTGTTAGTTACATCTCTAAGTGTGTTTAACAGGGTAAAAAAGTGAAAGGATGAGTAAGCAACTGGAAAATAAAAATAAAATAAAAATTGAGAGTATTTGATGGTAAAAAAAAAAAAAAAGGAAAGAACATAAAAAATTTATAATTTTTCACACTCATTAAAATAATAAATAATTTTAAATTGAAAAGATAAAAGAAAAGAAGGGAGATATAAATCAAATATCTATATTGGCAAAATTATCTATTATTTTAAAAATTTTAATTTTTTTATCTTCACCTATATAATGATAAAATAAAATAAAAACTATTTTTGTTCTTCTCAAATTTCAAAGATATCTAATGATGGGAGAAAAAAATAATTTTCCTTTCACTTTTCTATTTTTTTTATCAAGCATACTAGAAAAAAGTATGAACATATTTTCTTTGGTTTTTTTTTTTTTTTTTTTTTCAATTTTGCTATCATTTATTTTTTATCCATCCTAGCAATGCCTTTAATAATTTAACTGACATATATTCTTGTTAAAAATGCTTATAAAATGGTATGAAGTGGCCGGGAAGTTAGTCCAAGATTCGCCCGCCGATCACCAGAAAGATCATGAAATACGTATTTGTTAAACGTCACAAATATCACTCTTAACCATTCAAACTTGTTAAACTCCCACTTTGTTGCGGCTCACGCTCGTTGCTAAGCAAGGGCATTTCAGTCTATCGGCTTTCAAACTTGAACTTTGATAAAAAGATCAAAAAACC